CCCCCGCCGCCCGCGCCGCTCCCCTGCCCGGCTCGCCGGCCCCGGGCGCGGGGGAGCGGCGGAGCCCTCCGCCCGCCGGGTGCATGGACAGGAGCTCCCTGCTGCAGCTCATCCAGGAGCAGGTGAGGCCGCCCGGGGGGCACCGGGCTGCGCTCGGGGGGGGCCGCCGGACCCCGGCCATCGCTACCGGGGGCAGGGATGCTCGCAGCACCGGGCACGGCTGAGAGCGGCGGGCAGCGCTGCCCACCCGGGGCGGCCACCGAGGCCGTGCCACCCCCCGCCAGCGTCCCTCGGTGCCCCTCATCACCGCCCCGGGGGAGCCGGCCCTCCTTGTGCCGCTGAGAACGCGCGACTCGTGTCACTTGTGGCCTCTCCCTCCGTCAGCGCCGGGTCGGATCCTGCCCGGTGCGCCCTCAAGGACGAGGGGTGCTGGGCACGGAGCCCCAGAGCCGCCGGCGGGGTCTGGGTGCCTGATGGAGCCCGGGGGGGGGGCCGTGGGCTCGGTCCGGCCGGCGAGGCGGGGGTCTGCACCCACCCCCGTGACCTGATTGCGGGATGAGGCCGTGGAGCAGCAGCGCTGCGTGGCGTGGGGCTCTGCTCGCGGCACGATGGGGCCGCCAGGGGTTTCCACCCGCTGCCCCCCGGCCCCCACCAGCCCCCCCTGAGCTCCATCGCCTGGATCCTCCATCCCCACCCAGCCCTGGCCCAGCTGGCGGCTCTCCCCCGGGCACGGGGAGGGAATTTCTTGGGGGTCAGGATAATTAACTGTTCCCCCACTCGCCCCCCGCTGGTTCCGTGACCTTGGCTGAGTCTCCCAGCCCGGGAGCTGCCGTGCTGTCCCCCTTGCCACCCCACCCTCGGCACAGGGACTCCATGTGAACCCGAGCTCTTCGGGAATGAGCAGCATCTTCCCCGGGAGCGAGCAGTGCTGGGAGGGCTGGGAGCTGGGATCGGGCCCTCCCGGGGGATCGTAGGGTGCCAGTGAGGTTGGGGTGTGGGGAGATTCACCCCAAAAGCAGAGAGGGGTTCCCTGGCTGCTGACAGGGCTCTTGGCGCTCTTGGGGCCGGTGGCTCAGCGTGGGGACAGCGTGTGCCAGGTCCCGGCGTGACACACACGTGGAGCCCGTGGGGTGACGGGTGTGGGGCAGGGGGACACCAGGGTGCTCCCGCCCCCATGGCTGGGGCTGCTGAGAGGTTACAAATGCTGCCTGCACCCCTCGTCCCACCCTGCACCCCGCTCCGGGCAGCCAAAGCCCCTCGGGAAAGAGGCTGTGGCTGTTTCCTGCCGAGGGAACAGGGAGGGACAGGGTGCCCACCCGGGTGGGGATACGATCCCATGTCCCAAGCACTCCATCTCCTGCCCATCCCACGAGGATGAGGCTCCTCTCCCGCATTTCCCTCCCTGCAGAAGCAAAGAGCAAACCCCACACTACTCCAGGGCGATTGCAGGGGCTGTGCTCCGGCCGTGGGTGCTCTCTCCCCATCTCCACCCTCCTGTGCCATCCTGGGCTCCCATGAGCGGGGGGGTGCCCGTGGTGCTGTCCCTGGAGGGCTCGGGGTGCCCGAGGATGGCACAGGGTGCCCCGGCACAGGGCGCGGTGGATCCCAGCGGCCGGCGGCAAGGGCGGCGGGAGGAGCGGGAGGGGAGGAGGAGGAGGAGAAGAGGAGGAGGAGGAGGAGGAGGAGGAGGAGGAGGAGGAGGAGGCTGGTGCCAGGGCTGCGCGTGTGTTTAGCTTGGTGGCTTCCTGGCTGGCAGGCTGCTGGCGGCGAGAAATAACTGAGTGGGAGAGTGTTGGCTGCGCCGCGGGGAGACGGGGACACCGGCACGGCACGGGGCACCTCCCGGGGCACCAGCTGCAGCCTGTGGTGTCCCTCGCACCGCAGCAGGGACAGCTGGCATGGAGGCACCGGGAGGTGCCCCCGGCCGAGCAGGGAGCCGCAGCCCCGGCGTCCCGGTGACGCTCGGTGCCGTGTCCCGCAGCTCGACCCCGAGAACACCGGCTTCATCGGGGTGGAGACGTTCGCCAGCCTGGTGCACAGCCATGAGCTGCCCCTGGACCCCGCCAAGCTCGACATGCTGGTGGCCCTGGCACAGGGCAACGACGAGGGGCAGGTCTGCTATCAGGAGCTGGTAGACCTGGTCAGTGCCGGGCGGCCGCAGGGACGGGGTGGGTGCCAGCCCGGGGTGGGCACCGGGCACCTCCCTGTGCCCCTGGGGAGGGGGGCAGACACTGGCGGTCCCCAGGGACTCCCCCGGCGTGGGATGGCGGATTGGCCTCGGGACGGCTCGGGGGGGCTGGCAGGGGGTGGCCTCAGGCCGTGAGTCCCCCTCGGGCACGGCCTCTCTCCGCAGATCAGCAGCAAGCGCTCCAGCAGCTTCAAGCGAGCCATCGCCAACGGGCAGCGGGCGCTGCCCCGGGACGTCCTGCTGGACGAGACCGGCCTCGGCATCTACAAACGCTTCGTCCGCTACGTGGCCTATGAGATCTTGCCCTGCGAGATGGACCGGCGCTGGTACTTCTACCAGCACCGCACCTGCCCGCCCCCCGTCTTCATGGCAGCCGTCACCCTGACCCAGGTACGGGCACGGGCGGCTCCGGGGGTCCCGGGATCACACTCGGGGCCGACAGGGTGCGTGAGCCTGGTTGTGAGCTCCTGGTGCACACGGGGGGGCTCAGAGCTGACCTGAAGGGATGTGGGACCCTGGGCACATCTTTGTGCCTGCGTGGGTGACTCAGACCCGGGGCAGTGGGGCTGGGTGACCCCAGTTGTGATGTCCTGCTGCCCACAGAGGGGTTCAGATACGGGGTGAAGGGTTGGGTGCCCCCCGTTGTGATGTTCTGGAGTCCATGGTGGGGCTGAGACCCAGGACAGAGGGGATGGGATGTTCTGGTGCCCATAGATGGGACCCATAGAGGTTAGAAGGAATGGCTGAGCCCAGCAGTGATGTCCTGATGCCCTTGGGGGGCTCACATGAGGGGTGGAGGGATGGAGGATCCTGTCTGCGATGTCCTTGCGCCTGTATGTGGGACTCGGACCCAGGGCAGTGGGGACGGGTGACCCCAGCTGTGACATCCTGGTCAGATGTGGGGTGAAGGGGGGTGACAGTCACGGGGTTTGTCACAGATCATCGTGTTCCTGTGCTACGGGGCCCGGCTGAACAAGTGGGTGCTGCAGACCTACCACCCCGAGTACATGAAGAGCCCCCTGGTCTATCACCCCGGGCACCGGGCACGCGCCTGGCGCTTCCTCACCTACATGTTCATGCACGTGGGGTAGGTCCTGCCGGGGGGGGACACCGGGGACACCCTGGGGGCTGTGCTGGCTGAGCCCCCCTCCTGTTCCCTCCTGTGCCCGGGCAGGCTGGAGCAGCTGGGGTTCAACGCCCTCCTGCAGCTGATGATCGGGGTGCCCCTGGAGATGGTGCACGGCATCCTGCGCATCAGCTTCCTCTACCTGGCCGGGGTCCTGGCAGGTGGGTGCTCCCCTGGGGGGGACTGTCCCCAGGGGTCCCTGTCACCAGTCCGGGGAGGAGCACTCCGAATTTGATGGGGATGCTGGGCTGTGCTGGCTACCACCGTGCAGTGCCAGCATCACTTGGTTGGGGGCTGGGGGGAAATGCAGGCTGTAATTAATTAATGTAGACAGTAATTAACTCATACTGTGGGAGCAAGACCCCGTGCTGAGCCCTGTTTGTGCCCCCAGGCTCCCTCACCGTCTCCATCACGGACATGAGGGCCCCCCTGGTCGGGGGCTCGGGGGGGGTCTATGCCCTCTGCTCTGCTCACCTCGCCAACGTCGTCATGGTCAGCCAGGGGACAAAGGGACACAGAGCGGGGGGACAGGGGGTGGACAGTGGGCAGCACGGTGGGGGATGCCATGGGGTGACAACGGGGGTGGGAACTGTCTGCAGGTTGGGCAAGGTGGTGGGACATTAACAGGGGATGCCATGGGGTGGCACTGTGGGGTGGGCACCATTGGTGGGGGGATGCTGTGGGGTGGCATTAGGGGTGGCACCATCACAGGGGGACCACCTTGGGTGGCATCGTGGGGTGGGCAGGAGCAGGGACCTGAGTGGGCTCCATGGGGCACTGCAGGGGCTCTGGCAGCAGCCTCCTCCTCCATGCTGGAGCCTCGCTGGTGCCACCCGTCATCCATCCTTCCATCCATCCATCATCCATCCATCATCCTTCCATCCATCCATCATCCATCCATCATCCTTCCATCCATCCATCATCCATCCATCATCCTTCCATCCATCCATCATCCATCCATCATCCTTCCATCCATCCATCATCCATCCATCATCCTTCCATCCATCCATCATCCATCCATCATCCTTCCATCCATCCATCATCCATCCATCATCCTTCCATCCATCCATCATCCATCCATCATCCTTCCATCCATCCATCATCCATCCATCATCCTTCCATCCATCCATCATCCATCCATCATCCTTCCATCCATCCATCATCCATCCATCATCCTTCCATCCATCCATCATCCATCCATCATCCTTCCATCCATCCATCATCCATCCATCATCCTTCCATCCATCCATCATCCATCCATCATCCTTCCATCCATCCATCATCCATCCATCATCCTTCCATCCATCCATCATCCATCCATCATCCTTCCATCCATCCATCATCCATCCATCATCCTTCCATCCATCCATCATCCATCCATCATCCTTCCATCCATCCATCATCCATCCATCATCCTTCCATCCATCCATCATCCATCCATCATCCTTCCATCCATCCATCATCCATCCATCATCCTTCCATCCATCCATCATCCATCCATCATCCTTCCATCCATCCATCATCCATCCATCATCCTTCCATCCATCCATCATCCATCCATCATCCTTCCATCCATCCATCATCCATCCATCATCCTTCCATCCATCCATCATCCATCCATCATCCTTCCATCCATCCATCATCCATCCATCATCCTTCCATCCATCCATCATCCATCCATCATCCTTCCATCCATCCATCATCCATCCATCATCCTTCCATCCATCCATCATCCATCCATCATCCTTCCATCCATCCATCATCCATCCATCATCCTTCCATCCATCCATCATCCATCCATCATCCTTCCATCCATCCATCATCCATCCATCATCCTTCCATCCATCCATCATCCATCCATCATCCTTCCATCCATCCATCATCCATCCATCATCCTTCCATCCATCCATCATCCATCCATCATCCTTCCATCCATCCATCATCCATCCATCATCCTTCCATCCATCCATCATCCATCCATCATCCTTCCATCCATCCATCATCCATCATCCATCCATCCATCCATCTGTCCGTCCCCTTCCCGCAGAACTGGGCCGGGATGCGCTGTCCCTACAAGCTGCTGCGGATGGTTCTGGCGCTGGTTTGCAGTGAGTACCGGTCCCAGACCCGTTCCCGGCCGTGCGGGGCCCCGGGGCGGGCTCAGCACCTCCCGCTCTGTCCCGCAGTGAGCTCCGAGGTTGGTCGCGCTGTCTGGCTCCGCTTCTCGCCGCCGCTGCCGGCCTCGGGCCCCCAGCCCAGCTTCATGGCACACCTGGCAGGGGCCATCGTGGGCATCAGCATGGGGCTGACCATCCTGCGCAGCTACGAGGAGAGCCTGCAGGACCAGTGCGGCTGGTGGGTGCTGCTGCTGTCCTACGGCACCTTCCTGCTCTTCGCCGTCTTCTGGAACATCTTCGCCTACGACCTGCTGGGGGCACAGATCCCGCCCCCGCCCTAGCCCGTCCCCCCGCCCCGACCCCGCGGTTGGTTTGTTTTCCAAGGCCGGTGGAGGGGCTGAGGGGGTCCCCGCGCGTGACATGGGGACAGGCCACCCCCCGGCCGCCTGCCCCCTCGGTGCTAGCGAACGCGCCGCCCCCCGCCCCGGGCTGCGCCCCCCCAGTGTCCCCTGCCGATCCCCCCCGCTGTAGCCCCGTCCCCAAAGGATGCTTCAGCCCTGCCCCGGCATCGCCAACCCCCCCGGGGTGCCCGCAGGGCTCGGAATGTGCCCCTCGGGAAGGAGCCGAATGAGGGGAACCCCTCCCCCGGCTCCCGTACCCCTTCTCCAGGGTGGGGGCCGCTTCGCTGCCCCCCAGGACCTGCACTTTCACACGAAGGACTGGTGCCAAAAGAGGAGCGATTTATTTTTCTATGCCAAAATAAATATAAATAAAAGAAAGAGGAATAAAAAAAATTAAAAAAAAAAAAAAGAAAAAAAAAAAGAAAAAAAAGGATATGGCGAGAGCCCGGCAGGAATCAGCTGAGACCGGCACAACTCATTTTGGCAGTGCCCTCGGCGGCACAGCCCCCCCCTCCCCGCCCCCCGACCCCCCCGCTTTGCTGCCAGCCGCCCTCCCGGGACAGGGGGCTGGCCTCGGGATGGGGGCGCGGGGGCCGTCCCCGCTCTGATCCCCCCTCCCCAGACCTTTTTGGAGTATAAATAAATATTTTGCACACTGCGGGGGCTCGTGTCTCTATCGGGGGAGGGGTCCCCCATCCCTGGTGGGAGGCAGTGCGGGTGCCGGGGCCGGCTGGCCCGGGGGGGTCGGCGGGGGGGTCACAGCCGGGGTCGGGACTTACTGGAGCAGAAAACTCCGGGATAAGTGAAGTGGCACTCGGCTGAGCCCCGCGGGGCCGGCAGCGAGGGGGGCAATGGGTGCGGGGGGTGTCGGCAGCGCGCTGAGACCACCCGGCCCCATCCAGCCCCGCACACAGCGCTGGCTCCCCACGACCCTCGCACCCCAACTCTGCACTCAGACCCACCCCTCATGGAGCCCGCAGCTCCGCCGCACCCCCACCAGCTCCATCTCATCCCCTCCGCGCATTCTCACACTCCCACCGCCCCTTTACACCCCCGTCCCCGCCAGCCGGGCCCTCAGCCATCCCCCCGCATCTCCCTGCACCCCTCCTCCCATCAAACCCCACCCCCAGCTGGACCCCGCCCCTCCCAGCCCCCACCCCAATCCCCTCCATCAATCATCCCCGTTCAACCTCATTAACGCGCACTGGCCACGCCCACCACAGACCACGCCCCAAACTCCCCATTA